TATCTGGAATAAAAAAGCAATTGCTGGGAATCGCTTTGCTCGGGGAGATGGGAGGCACAGCCTTGATGCCTGCTGAATAGGCCTGGTGTAGAGATGCTATAATCAGCAAGTGAGAAAGCCCTTGGAAGATCTAGTGGGGAGTTTGGGGAGCAAAGGCATTGTCAGGTCTAACAGCACTGGCTGTGACCTAAGAGCTCGGCAGCAGCCGGCAGGTTTTTACCAACTGGAAATGTTCTGACAGCTTTGCATCAGGAGAACAGGCCGTGCACAGGAAACTGCAAGCGAGCATTTACTGCAGCAGAGCTGAGGGAGATGCGCAGGCATGGAACTATAAAAACCTGGTTCAATGTAGTAAAAACGTGTGCTGACAGGGGAGCAGAACGAATGGGGGAATTAGGCATGAAGATGCATGTGCAGAAAAGGGTCATGGGAGATATAAATCAGGAAACCACAAGTTTGTTGAAGCTGAAAAGTCCCTAGTGCTGGAGGTGACCGTAGTCCATAGAAAACAATAGGCTTCCCATTTGCATGGAGTTGGGCACTGCAGGGGCCTGCCGGCTTCTTTATGTCCAGCTCACCGTGCATTTGCATCCGTTTCCCAATTAGGAGATTGCCTCCTCGACGCTCCAGCCAAACTCATCACCCTCCCCACAGACCTGCCAGGCCAAGTGCCCATCTACAGCCTGGACCGTCAATGCCAGCAGATCTTTGGCAAGGAATTTCGGCACTGCCCGAATACCACCGAGGAGGATGTCTGCGCTCAGCTGTGGTGCCGGATGGAGACAGGAGAGCCTCTCTGTCACACCAAAAATGGCAGCTTGCCCTGGGCGGACGGCACACCCTGCGGGGCAGGCAGGCTGTGCTGGGAAGGCATCTGTGTGCTAGGGAACATGGCAAAGCCCCAGGTAACTGGTTGGTGGGATGGAAATGATCTGTGTCTGCAGGGGAAGCTTCTTTCCTGCAGAGAAGGGGCCTGGTCCCCATCGTTCTCTCCCATTGCCGCTCAGGAGCTGAGGACTGGCATTCCCAGCTGTGAGAGCCACAGCAATAAAACTCACACTTCCATGCACTAAGACATTGCCACAATTCTCCCCAAGGGGCCAGGAAAGCATCATGATCCTGGATGGGGACAGGGAGGCAGAGAGCTGAATTGACTTGCTCAGGGCAGCACGGGGAGTCGTTAGCAGGGATGGGCTTAATCACAGAAGCATAGACAGTTCAGATTGGAAGGGACCTCAAGAGGTTACATCTAGTCCAGCTCCCTGCTCGAAGCAGGATTGTCCCCAACTAAATCATCCTCGAGCTTTGTCTAGCCTGGTTTTGAAAACCTTCAAGGATGGAGCTGCCACCACCTCTCTGCTCCAGTGTTTTACTACCCTCCTAGTGAGAAAATTCTTCCTAATATCCAACCTAAACTTCCCTTGCTGCAACTTGAGCCCATTGCTCCTTGTTCTGTCATCTGCCGTCGGTGAGAACAGTCCAGCTGCATCCTCTTTCTGTAAGCCTCAGAAATCCAGGCTCCCAGCCGTATTCCCTGCCCACTGCACCACAGGGCCTCCTGGTCTGTGTCTGAGGACGGTGACCCCAGACAAGTCCTCTCCTTTTCTCCAAGTAGACAGCACAAAGTCTGGATGTGAGGAAACCTGGGCCCCGATCCTGCAATCCAGCCTGCCAGTGTAGTTCCCTGTGGTGTGGGCAAGGCTCCCCACTAGCACATCCAGTTGCAGGATCAAAGCTTGTGCCAGTTAGGATGGGGCTCCTTGACTCTGCAACTTGCAAATGAAGCAGCTCATGTTACTACCTTGGGTTCCCCATTCCACTCTAATCTGTGTCCAGGAAAGGCTGTTGTCTTCTGATTTGCCTGGTTTGTTTTTGCATCTCCTCTCAGGCAGCACTTGCCACTGAGATCATCTCTACTGTGGCCTGTGCTGGGCCAGGCCAGCTCACAGAGTCACTCTGCAGTGAATTTCCTGATGACTTGTGCTGGCCTGAACTGTCAACTCCAGGAAGACTGTCATTGTGCCATTAAGTCATTGTCTTTCCCCTCTGGGAATATACGTGAAGACAAAGTACTTCTGAAGCAGCCCCTAGCCCAGCAAAATGCTAACAGCAGCTTCAGCGAATAGGCTCATCCATGCCAATGGTACTTACATCCCTGCATAACTGCTAGCTGCATCAGGGCCATACTTAGTATTGTCAGGAGCGGAGGGGACATGTGCATGTTACTGGTGCCTGCATCCTTCATTTGCTTTCCATATTTATAGTACAGGACCGATAGTAGACATCTGTCTGTCTCGTGAGACAATGAAATTGTGCCGAGACATCAACTTGCTGGATGTAACCCTCACTTGATAAAATGAAGCTGGAGTGACCTCTTCAGGGCACAAAAGCCTGGGCAGTGCATATGGCCAGAGACAAAGTCAGGAGCCCAAGTCTCTTCCACCAACAACAGCCTTGTGCAGCACCATTGGCTTTCGGGGCATTGTGACCAAGCTCAGGGGTGTGAATTGGGCCGTGCAGGTTGGCTCATGTTGCCCACGCAGTGCTCTGTGCACCACCCAGGCAGCAGGACGAGGGCAAACAAATCAGCCCCTCTAGGGTGTTGGAGATGTGTTTGCAGCCAGGCTGTCCTGCATCCCTGTGCTGGTGTTTGTGAGCACCACAAAGTCATGCTTTCAGCTCCTAGAAAACAGATGGGACGTCTGCTTTTCTTTTCACATTCTGTCTCCCTTCGGGCTTGGTAAAACCCTTGCTGGTTCCAGTCCTGTATTTTGACATGGATGCAACCCCCACTCCATCCCCTTAGCCCTGCATGTTGTTTTTCAGTTCTGCCATGTGCGGAACAACGCACTAAGCACATGCCTTATACTTGTTAAAAAACCACTACAAAGAGTGACCCAGTCTCTATGGCAAGATCAGCACAAAGCCAGGCCAAGTTGGATACTAAGCCTCTCTCCCTGTCTAGCAAGTATTCGAAGGACCAGAACCTAGGAGGGGCTGAGCACACACAGCTCATATAAAGCAAAATCTTGGCAGCACTTCTCTATTTCCATTGACTGCGGTGAGGCCAGGATTTCAACCGCAGAGCTGAACACAGGCTGATGGTGCTCATCACCTCTTCGGTAGTAGAAAGCTGCAAGGTACAGAGACAGCTGTCTAGAGGGCAGGACCAGTCAGCTCAGCAATTTGGCCCACTCAGGTCTTGAGACCCGCTCTCTGTCTTACTCCATATTCAGTCTTGGTCTCTTGTCATATAGCACCAGTAGGTATTTCTTGTTGCGGCCATTTGAGGGACGCTTTTGTGAGCTCACAAGCTTCTTGAACCTTGGCTCTAGACGGTTGCTGAAGGGCAGGGGCTCCAGAAGTGAGGGCCTTCCCCTGGGAGAGCCTTACCAGCTAGGCGCCATCCTGGTGAACCCTGCACAACTCAGCTCTCAGATAAAAAGCATCTTACACCTTAAGAATAAGGTTTCAAAGCTGCTCAGGAGTTGATATGCCCAGGTCTTATTTGTTTTCATGGGAACTAGAAGTCTGAAGAGGAGATTTTCAAAGACACAAAAGGCAGTGATGTGTCTAACTCTTTTCAGAAGTCAAAGAGAATTAGGACCCTAATTGCTGTTTGTGCCTTGCAAAATCCCTCCCTGCCACATCCACAGCCTGAAATGGCCACATCTGTGTTTGAGCCCCAGACCCTTTGGGATGTCCCACAAATGATCTGCTCCTCCTGGCTAGGTCTGTGCAGCCCATTAAAACAAAGAGGGGTGGCTGTAATGAAGTGATTTGTGATGTCTTGCAGCCTGTGGTGGATGGAGACTGGGGGCCCTGGAGCCCGTGGGGCACCTGCTCCAGGACGTGCGGAGGCGGGGTGCAGTTCTCACACCGCAACTGCAACAATCCCGAACCGCAGAACGGTGGGAAATACTGCGAGGGCCAGAGAGCCAAGTACCAGTCATGCCACACGGAGGAGTGCCCAGACAGTGGTAATCCAGTTTCCCAGTAACGCTTGCCTTCCCTTCCCTCCCCTTGATGTCCCTGCCTGTGTCCGGAGCAGCTCCAGGAACTGGCTTGGTGGAGCTGAGCCTGACACGAAAGAAGCCATTGTAGTGATATAGATATAATTATGAGGCATTATGGATGGCAGCAGCCTGTCTGTCCGACTGCCACCAGGCACTGGAGAAGTCAAGCGATAGGGAGTCAAAGAGGACTCGGTCTGATACTGAGGCACCTACCAAGAGACACCCCTCAGCAAGGTTTTGGAGGGACTATACAGTCTGTTTCCTCCCATCCCAAATCTACCTGCAGGCCCAGTCTGCAAAGCCACCGCTCCTCAAGGGCAGGGTTGGGCAATTAGTTGGGCCCAAGGGCCACATGGGGGGTTTGGATGAGCTGTCATGGGCCAGGTCAGCACCAGGGTGAGCAGCGGGCATGTTCACTGAGAAGATGAAGGCAGGGCAGGTGTGCACCTTACAGGCTAATTAAATCATTTATAGCATAAGCTTTTGTGAGCCCAGGCTCACTCCACCGTGTGCTGCGAAAGGACTGAGAGGATGCCATTCATGAGTGCTCTGATAAATGATGAATTGCTCCTTGGGTACCTCCGGCACCTCTGACCAGTCAGCAAGAGAGACCGCAGTTCCCTGCAAGCTGCCTCTTCCCCCAGCCCAGCCCCGCTGAGGACTATGAGGTCCTGTTTTTCCTTCCTTTCAGGGAAGAGCTTCCGAGAGCAGCAGTGTGAGAAGTACAACAGCTACAATTTCACGGATCTGGATGGGAATCTGCTGGAATGGGTCCCAAAATACACGGGTGTCTCCCCCAGAGATCGCTGCAAGCTCTTTTGCCGAGCCAGAGGGAGGAGTGAATTCAAAGTATTTGAGGCCAAAGTAAGATGCCTGCCTTTAATTCTTACTATTCTCCTTCCCTAAAGTGCCCCATGGCATCATCTCATAATTGTCACTCCTTTTTTGCTTTGTATTGTCCAGGTGATTGATGGGACATTGTGTGGGCCAGAGACTCTCTCCATCTGTGTGCATGGTCAGTGCATCAAGGCTGGCTGTGACCATGTGATTGGGTCCTCCAAGAAGCTGGACAAGTGTGGGGTGTGTGGTGGCAATGGCTCAACTTGCAGGAAAATATCTGGTTCACTCAACAGATCCAAGTAAGCCATGGCGGGGGGGACTGAATCCATCTCTGGGGCTCTGGGAGTATGAAAGAAAGGATTATGCCAAGGCTGGATGTCTGCCTTCGCCAGAGCTGTCCTGCTTTCGAGCTGCTCAAGATCTGGCTTGTGGAACCAGTTCTCTTAGTTTTACCCATGAAAATTTGCTGATTTTGTGCATTTACAGTGTAGCTGAGAAGAGGACATATAGGTTGCCACATAGGTTGTTAACACAGATTTTCTGGCCCAAACAATGAGTAACTCATTACATTAGTAAAACTCAAGGAATGCAAAACAATCCATTTACTCTTCTCCTTACATATAGTACCAAAGGACTTAGGAAGGTAAACATACCACGCCATGTTGCTGCTGTACAAATGTCTCAGGACCAATAAGGACATGAGCAAGAACACACATAGACAGTTAAATGCATCCTAAAGTCTCACGCTCAGGGATTAAGAACACTGTCCTGGCGCAGGTCAGGTTTACCTGCTACCATAACTTACAGTAAACAGTGCTACCTGTGACTGTTAGCACTGACTGCTGGCAGAGGTTAAATAACTTAGCAACCTCTAGGGTGCCAGTGGCTTTGTGCACCTTAGAGAGGGGCACTATTCTTCCACCCAGGTGGAGGAAGTGCCACCAAAAAGTTGTAGAACTGAAGTCTACTCCATGATAGGGTAGACTGGGCTCTTTAACCCTGGTCGGCAGCCAGTCTAGAAACAAAGCCCTGACAGATGGACAAATAGATCATGTCATTTGCTCCAGCAGCTCCTGCAGCCAGGCTGGTTCCAAGTGTCCTGGCACTTGTCTTTCCTTTGGACTAAACCAGCAAGACCAAGAGCGGGGCAGTGGTGTATGGGCAGTTCAGTGTCTCCAAATACACTGCCCAGGCTTTTGTGCCCTGGAGAGGTCACTCCAGCTTCACTTTATTTTCAAGCAAGGATTACATTCAGTGAGCTGATGTCTCACTCGGTGTAATTGTATTGTCTCATGAGACAGAGAGATGCCTAGTATACGTAATTAATTTTACTTTTTTTATTTTTGAATCAGCTCAGGCAGTGAAATCAGCTGCTCTTTTTTTTTGTCTCTGGTCCATTACATACTCTGATTCCCAGATGCAGTCTCCAGGAGTCTGCTGTATGAGGCCCAACACTGCAGGAAAACTTTTTTTAAAAACCCATCCCTTTTCCATCGTGTTGTCTAACTGCCACAGAAGCACTAGGTCTGATAAAAGCCATTTACTTTCACACCCAAGTTTTGAATCTTAACCAGTTTTGAATCTTAACTGCTTGACAACCAACCTTGGATCCAATTTGTGCCAACCTAATTCTAAAGTAACTCAGTGATTCTCAACCAGGTTCCGTGGCACCCTGGGGTGCCTTGCAGTCCTTGCAAGGGTGCCGGGGGGTGCCACTCAGGTTTAGCACTGTTAGGTATATAAACATGGTTCACCAGATAAACTTAGAGTTTTTACATAAGAATCCATTGTGTTAAAACCATGCTGACCCATTGTGGCCTTTCTGAGATCTTTCCAGCAGAAGAATTGCTCTATTCATTTTCTGTAGTCAACAAAGTATGAAACCTAAGAGCTGGTATTTTCTGAGGGGTGCCTCAAGTCTAAAGAGGTTGAGAACCACTGGCATAACTCCATTGTCTGCCATAAAGATAACCTGGATTTGCAGCTATGAAAATGAGCTCCGAATCCAGCCAGGTGTGATGTCTGTTCTCTCCACCCGCAGTTTCACAGAGCTTTATGTAAAGTGTAACCCAAGCAGTGCTTACTGCCTCCGGTATGATCAGGTGCTGACATCGATGAGTTCTTGGTACTCTACCAGTTGTAGATAAAAACTCAGTCCCTGTCCTGAGGAGTGCAAACCTGAAGTCAACGAGTGAATTTCACCCATGCTGGCACAAGGCTTATCATAGGCCACAGAACGGGCTGGGCCACCCGGGCCATAGCCCAACCAATTTTTAGCACATTAATTTATATAACCCACAAATGCACAATTGTCATTCCAGTTAAGACTGTACAGTTACTTTTTTTAACTGTATAGCTAGCTAAATTAACATGCTAAAAGTTGGTTGGGCCATGGCCCGGGTGGCCCACCCAGTTCTGCAGCCTGTGCTTATCATCATTTCCCTTGGGGTAAAGTGGGATGTAAATGCCTGAGCAACTTTGTGTTGGCTTTCAGCTCTGGGTGGATTCCAGCCTGTGTGCCAAAGCTTTGATATCAGTGACCTATGGCAACTTCTACCATGTGAATCTCTAAACCTCTTGATTTAAAGGCTGAAGTTCAAGCTGAGTAAATCTAACCCTGAAAACCCAACAGAGGCACTTCCTAAAAATATAGTAACAAGGCCCAACGTATCAAATTCCTTGTGGCAAGATTCCTGATACAGCCAAATTACATTTCCTCAATTGTTTTCTCCCAGGGAGCAAGATGAATGGATCTTCCATTTCCCAGTGAATTGTGGTTGTAGTAAGAGAGATTAATGTGATAACTACAGCCAACTGGATTTAATTTTCAAGACATCCTGTTAAGATCAGGGTTCAGGATGCCAGTGCAACTGACAGCAGAGTTTGACCTCGCATCTTTGTTCCACAATATTCTTGGCATAATGAACAGCCACGGTACAAACTCTTGAAATGCCTTGTATAAATTTTCCCATTGGCCACTGTGGCTGATTTCTGCCAGGTGCTGCAGTCTGGTGCGTTTCCATATCATTCTACAAATAGCGATTATTATTTGTTTAGCACTGACAATGTTTCCTGAGCTATACAGGGCACAAAGATGGAGAGTCACTGAGCCAAAGACTGTCCAGTCCATAGCTATGAGTATTTGAATGCCAACGTGTTCATGCTATAATCCCCCCGGGACTGCATACTCCGGGATTCTGCTGCCGTGCAATTTGCAGTGGGATCTCCTGTCTGGAAAGCAGAGTGTGCTCCATATACCAACATTTAATTTACAGTTAGTTTCCAGTCTAGGCTTGCAATGAAAATCTCCCAAGAAAACAAACTTAAGTTTTAAGTGATGCAGAGATTTCTGCCTGAGTCTGCAGACAGCCTGAAACGGTAGCTTTAAGAGACTTGGATTGTCGTCATGTGAGGTGTTGGGTCTAAGACCTAATGATGACAGCAGGAATGCAAATATTGTTAACTATTTCACTGCCGATTTCTTTTTAGCAGAAACATCTAGTCATTCCCCAGCTGTCAGGAATCCCTCCCTGGATGCCAAAAGCTGTATCTTATCCAGCTGCCAAAACCTCCAGGATCCCAATGCAGCTCTGACTTTTCAATACCAAAATGCCAAGCTTGTTCCAGTGTAAACATTTGGGGGCAGTATAAAATAAGTGGAAGTTCATACCGAGATACCTAACTCAGGGACTGTACCTAAATACAGTTCTGAATCGATCATTCATTTTCATAAATAATTCAGCACAACCTTCCAGTTAAGCATTGATCTGCTGCTGCAACACAATTTCCAGGCTGTGGCACTCGAGTGCTGTGAGATCCAAGAGGGTGGATCCAGAGTGTAGGTCAGTTTGCCCTGGGATACTCAAAGCCTGGATAGTTATGTCACCCCACCCCAGCTGCCTTGTTGGTAAGATCAGGAAAATAACCATCTCCATGTGATCCATGCAGGTATGGCTATAATGACATCGTCACCATCCCTGCCGGAGCTACGAACATTGATATCAAGCAGCGCAGCCATCGAGGAGTCAGGCACGATGGGAACTACTTGGCTTTGAGGACTCTCGATGGCCACTACCTCCTGAATGGAGAGTTTGCCATTTCAGCCATGGAGCAGGACATCCTGATCAAGGGGACAATCCTGAAGTACAGTGGCTCCATGACTACCCTGGAGCGGCTCCAGAGCTTCCAGGCACTCCCAGAATCCCTCACGGTCCAGCTGCTCACCATCACCGGCGAGGTCTTCCCACCCAAGGTGAAGTACACCTTCTTCATCCCCAAGGATGTCCCCTTCAACAAGCAGAAGGACAAAGAGAAGAAGTCAGCCAATATCATCCAGCCAATGCTGACCTCGCAGTGGGTCATGGGGGACTGGTCTGAATGCTCTAAAACCTGTGGCTCCGGCTGGCAGAGACGGACAGTGGACTGCCGGGACATGGAGGGCCAGACCTCGACAACCTGCGACAGGGCCCTGAAGCCGGAGGATATCAAGCCCTGCGGCGACCTCCTGTGCCCCATTTGGCGGCTGGGTCCCTGGTCCGCGTGCTCCCGAACTTGCGGCGAGGGAGTGAGGACGCGCAGCGCCTCCTGCCTTGACTACGCAGGGAAGATCACGGCCCCTGAGAAATGCAGCTTGCCACCACCAGCAGAAGCCACCGCAGCCTGCCTGCTGCAAGAGTGCTGAGCCAGTGCCAGGCCGGTGCGTCAGAGGCACATAACATAGGCAACTACTAACCAGACTAGACCTGGCTCAGCAGCCGGAGCAGGAACATAGGTTTAAAGGCGGATGTGCACTAATTGACCTGAGCGGGCCCCCGAGGCAGCCCTGCTTGAAAGACTAACAGACATTCAATAACAGTCCCTTCCCCACCTGACAGCCATCTACCTCAGAGGGGGACAAGAGCAGCGGGGGAGCGGGGAGGAGACGCTGGGTGTTTTTTCTGGCCAGCAGCAGGGGAATTTCACCCCAAGAAGCAAAAATTCATGTCCTAGTCTGTTTGCAAAGAGGATGGCCTGAGTTTCAGTCCCACCCACGTGGCCTTGTGAGTCTGACAGTGAGGACCTCATCATCACGGTGGACTGTGCGCTGACCATCAGGCTGATACCCAGGGCCGCCAAGGGCTGGGGTGGGGAAGGGGCTTCCACACTCGAAGGTGACGTCATGGAAGTCTTTTTTAAAAAACCATGTATTGGATGGAGGGTCTGATCATCAGACAGTTCTCCCATTAGCTCCATGATGGCTGTGGGATCAGAAGTCTTAGCCATGAGCTCACACTCTTCCTACCGGTTTGAGTTAGGTTCGAGACCACCCAGAGGTGTAAGCTGCTGAGATGGGATCTCAATTCCAAATCTCTCCATCCCAGCCACATTTCAGTGGTGCTTGGTCTGGGACTTCAGTTCAGCACATTAGAAAATGGCATTTTTGCCAAAAGCTGGAGCTAGGGTCAGATTTCCATCCCCCCCATCCTGTGTTCCAGGCCATTTCTCTTCTTAGCTGCTCACATAAATGCAATGAAAGCCCAATTCAAGGTCAGCCTGTACATGCAAATCCAGCTTTGTACATTTGTACCCGAATCTGACCTACTTGTCTCTCTGTCAGCTCACCCAGAAAACCAATGGACTCTGACATGAGGCAGAGTGGTCTGAGCGTGGGACTGAGATCCAGCTGCTCCTGAGCTCTAATACAGTCGAAGAAACACCTCCCTTCTGTGGCCTTAGACAAGTCATTTGATCTCTCTCTTTCTCTTTCTCTCTCTCTGCGCCTCAGTTTTCCTAGCTGTAATATGGAGCTTATACCTGACCTGATTCCCAGGGTGTTTGCTGTGAGGAAGAGCTAACATTTGTACATGGCTTTGAAGGTGACAGTTGAAATGCTTTTTGCATGACATGCTAAATGCTAGCTACACCCTGTCTTCTCACCAAGCTTGAGTAGGGGCTGCCATTTCCTTCCCCAGAAAAGTCCTCAGCTTTGCATCCATCGAGTATTTGATAAGTTGTGTTTTGGGGTCAGGTCATTCGCCATTCAGGGGTCAAATGAAAATTACAGTAGAACGCTGAACACTAATTGGGTCCAACCACTGTGTGGTCATGAAAACATGCAGTGGATTGATAACCTCCCAAAACAACTGAAAATACACTGTAACCAAGAGAGGCTGCATTGTAAAGTCCTCTGTTAACCATGTTACTGTAACTTGACTGAAGTGTGTTGTTTTGCCTTCAGCATGGAAGAGGATACAATGTGGAGGGTGGAGATGTTTCAGGTTTTGATTAACCCTTATCCTGTGACATCACCTGGCCATGTGCGTTTGGCTGGACATGCAGTGGATTGGACTGTGCCTGTTCTGCGCTCTACTGTACCTGCGGGAAGTCAGGCTAGATGATCACAGCGGCCCCTTCTGGTTTCATCGTCTTCAGTTGTACAGATCCCTGGTTCAGGTTGCAAACTCCCCCAGAATTCAGGCACGCAGAGCTCTGGCCTTTGGGTCAACCCATTGTGCAGACAGAGTATGTTTGCTAACGTTAGATCTGGGCCTGGATTCCTGCCTGTATAGTATTTGAGGGGGTCCAGATCTGGGGCTTTGGCTCAGGATATTCACAGGTCTTTCCAGCTTGCAGTCATCCTCCCCTCCCTGTAGCCAATTATCATCCTCCATGTGGTTGCCTGCTGCTAAGCAGTCCTGACAAGGAGATCTAACACCCCTACTCCCAAGGCTGAAATCTTTCCTTCCCTGCAGGGATTGCTGCCAGAGCGGAGTAGAACAGCCAAGCTCTCTGCCTGCAACCCAGACACTGTCTGGTCATTGCAGATGCCTGGCCAGTCACTGAACTTTGCCCCTTTTGCTACATGTGTACTGAGGCTCAGCCGGCCTGGCAGCAGCCTGCATCTCTGGGGCGGGGAAGATTTGCAAATTTCCTTGTCAGCAGTGTCTTGCAAATAGAGGATCTGTGTGTTATCAAGAGGCTCCCTTCTTCCTACCCCTTTCTGGGAGCCTTGGTCTCAGTTCCTCCTGGGTCCCCCATGCAGCTGTGCCCTCAGCCCTGGGTTTCCTCCCACAGAGACATGGCAGTGCCCTACCAT